ATTCTATGTTACGGGGTCTGTTTCAGAAGAAGTCTAAACCTTACAAGGTCTTTCCCTCTTCAGTAAATCCTTGCACCAAAACCTTAGGAAGATCCTGTTCTATAACCCTACACAACTACACAAACTCTCTTCAACATTATACTGCCCTAGAAGCCCTTCAGAACTGTCAGCGGAATGCTGGTTCGGACCGGTGTTGCCTAAAAGCGTTCTCCCGGCCTCAGTGTACTTCCCAGCAAGTATCTGCGGCGAGACGAAGTATGGCCTGAATGACGAACGATGCATGTAGGACTAAGGGTCTAGCAGGTACACTGCAAATGCAGTGTTCAATACTGTGGAAAGATCTAAGTTTTGCGAATGAGGTAGTTTCAAAACTCATCTCCGCACTACATAGTCATCATTAATCATTAGCCTCTCTAACCCCGAGATCCAGACTGAGGCCAACACCCAGCCAAGAACCCCAAGCCTGACCTCCCTAAACCCCATTGAAGACCCCCCGGAACCCTCAACCCCAAACCCCAAAAGAAACCTGAGACCCCAAAACCCGACAAGCCTGGAAACCCAACAGAAAGCATTTAACTCTGAACTCTTTTGACCCTAAAACCCGGAAGCCCCAAAACCCTGAACACTACAGGCCTAAACCTTAGAGCCTGCAGCTCAAAAAAACTGTAAAAACCCTAAACACCAAAACTCTAAACCCTCTAAAGCCCTAAACCCCACATTCCTAAACCTTGAAAGCCCTAAACCCTACCACCCCAGACCCTAAACCCTAAACCTTAAAAGCCACAAACGCATCCTCTGGGGGCCCAGACGCACCAACCTTCGTCTTCATCGTCTGCGCTCGCTTCGGCTCTCTTTCCGGGGGGCTTTGGGGGTTTGTCGGTCTCGCGTGAGAAGGGCTTATAGACTTAGAGGGTTGCAGGTTTTGGGATCAGGGTTTCAGTGCTTTTAAGGTTTAAGGATGATGGAATTGGTAGGGCTTAGAGGGTTTAGGCTTTAGGGTTGAGGGTTTTTTGAGTTTAGGGTTCAGGGCTTCAGTGCTTGTAAGGTGTAAGGATTCATGCCAATGAATATGACTCTACATATGCAGTGACCAGGAGTGTACATGTATGTACATGTGCATGCCTCTTGTGGGATGGTTTAAGGATGATGGCATTGACAGCGTTTAGGGTTTGCGGTTGAGGGCTCAGTGCCAAACGTCTGGGCTTTGAGGCTTGGGCTCAGGGCTCGAGGGAAGGCTAAAGGTCTCGGGTTTAGTTTAGGGATTAGGGTTTAACCGTTTTAGGGTTTAGGATTTAAGGGTTTAGAGTTTAGGGTTTAAGGGTTTAGGGTTTTTAGGGGTGTAGGGTCTAGGGTTTAGGACTGTAGAGGTTTAGGGTTTAGGATGAAGGGTCAAATCCCGCACCCGAATGCCCGAAAGCCACCAAGATCCTAAACCAAATCCTAAACGCTATACCCTAAACCCTGAACCCTAAACCCTAAGCCTAGATCACAAGCCCCAGACTCTAATTTGAGCTCCACATCCGGACCTCCCTGCGAAGGCCTTCCCTAATATAGGGGCCTTCATAATTAGAGCAGGGCTTTGGGCCCATTTATAGTACAACTCTCATAAGGAACCACAAGGAATAATATGGGTCTTTCTTTAGGCTCTTATACAACCGCCGACACCAACTCAGCACCCCAGACGTGTCAAGAATCCTTCACGTTTCAACACGAGTCTTTCGACCTGAAAAACCCGACACCCACCTCGCCCTCCTTGAAGGATCTGGCGAAACCGAAGTCGATGATCTGAGCACGTCCCGTGGTTTGGGGATGATCGGCTGCGGGCCTTCCGACTGTTTTCATTCTGGTTTGGGGGTACAGGGTTTTTTGTTTAGGGTTTAGGGGTTTAGGGTTTAGGGTTCTGGCGTTTCATAGGACTCATGGCAGACGCGGTCGAAATATCCTAACTCCGAAAACCTAACCCCTTAACCTCATCTGAAAGTACAGACGTGCTGAGACCCGAGGCCTACAGGGGAGAGGCTTCTGGTCTCCAAACCCGAAGCATATGGGTTTAGTTTAGGGTTTAGGGCCCGAAGCCCCAGCAGTCCTAGTACCGAGGTCGGAATCATCATCTATACTAATCCTTATACTATTGTGGTATGATGGTCTCTTGTCTCATTGCGACTTTGTGGCTCTACGGTACCATGGCAGTATAACATTATGGCAGTCGATACCCCAAAAACCCAAGTCTACATTTACCTAGGATACCCAGTAACCTAAGAGAAAACGGCCTCTCTTTTCGGTATTGGGTAACTTTATAAGGAACCTAGGACTACAAAAAGGGAATAAGGGTACTACTGGGCATCCTAGTTACTCAGCCTCCTCCATTACGCTGAAAAACGTCCAGCCTTGATCATGTTGGCCTCGATGGGACCTCGGTCAGATCAATGCCAGCGTGGCGCATCTCCGGAGCTGCAATCTACAACGGGATCCGAATAATCTAAACTTTGTGGCTTGGGGGGTACCTTATAGTGTAAGTAGATTGTGGGAAGCTGCAAGGAGATAGTTTTACAAGTTATTGTCGGCCCCATTGCAACAGCCGCAAGGCCTTGCAGCTTCGTAAACTCCGATCCGACAGATGCAAAGAATCTTCGAAGTCTAGCTTGTGGAAAATCGGCACCCTCGTTTTTTTCGATTTCGCCGGGAATGACACTCACCCGGAGTTCACCAAACTGCATAACATAGGGGCCTTGAAAATTAGAATCGGGTTTGGGGTATCTTTTTCTATAAGTATAATAAGGAACCCCAGAAGAGTATAGGCAATATTTAAGGCCCCTTTTTTACCTCGACATCCTTGAAAAAACGGTCGGAAAGTTCATCTTTAAGCATCCTGGGAAAGAAAAGCATCTGTACCAACCTACCTGACAAAAAACAAACACATACACACACATTATAAAGATAAAAGCATGTCTGCGGCCCTAAACCCTAAACCCAACCCCTAAACCCTAAAACCTATCTGACGAGACCCGAAGACTTCAATCCCAAACATGAAGGAGAAACCCCAAGCCGAGGCCGAAGCCACCAGACCGCAAATCCCGAAACAGGAGAAGCCTTGACCTTAAGACCCTAATATAGGGGGCCTTAATAATTAGAATAGGGTTCCTTTTAAAGGGGTCTATAAGGATTACTATATAGGTGGTAGGTGTTGGGTTTAGGGGCCTTAATAATTAGAATATGGTTTTGAGGCCCATTATACTGTAACTCTACTAAGGAACCCTTGACGTAGTATAGGAAATTATTGAGGCCCCTATCTTAAACCCCCCAAAACACCCTAGACTTCCCTGAAACCCTAAAGGTAACAAGCCGAAACCTGCTAAACCCTAAACCCTAAACAGGGTTTAGGGTTTAGGGGTCTAAACATTGAAGTTGAGGTGTTCTCTACCATCATTTGTAGGCGTCTTCTATGACAGAAACCCTGGCGACTCCGTGCCGGCAACGGGGCTTACAACGGAAACTGTACCGGAACGTAGTGGAGCTGTAACGGATTTGTCGCGGAGCTGTAACGGACCTGTAAAGGAGCTGTAACGGAGCTCTGACGGAAGACGGAAGCTGTAACGGAGCTGCAGAAGCTGCAACGGAGCTGTAACGGACGTGCTACGGAGCTGTAACGGAGCTGTAACGGAGCTGTAACGGAGCTGTAACGGAAGCTGTAACGGAGCTGTAACGGAGCTGTAACGGACCTGCAACGGAGCTGTAGCGAACCTGCAACAGAGCTGTAACGGACCTGCAACGGAGCTGTACCGGAAGCTGTAACGGAGCTGTAACGGAGCTGTAACGGACCTGCAACGGAGCTGTAGCGAACCTGCAACGGAGCTGTAACGGACCTGCAACGGAGCTGTACCGGAAGCTGTAACGGAGCTGTAACGGAGCTGTAGCAGAAGCTGTAACGGATTTGTAACGGACCTGCAACGGAGCTGTAACGGACCTGCAACGGAGCTGTAACGGAAGCTGTAACGGAGCTGTAACGGAGCTGTAGCGGAGCTGTAGCAGAAGCTGTAACGGAGCTGTAACGGACCTGCAACGGAGCTGTAACGGACCTGCAACGGAGCTGTAACGGAAGCTGTAACTGAGCTGTAACGGAGCTGTAGCAGAAGCTGTAGCGGGAGCTGTAACGGAAGCTGTAACGGAGCTGCAACGGAGCTGTAGCAGAAGCTGTTGCGGAGCTGTAACGGACCTGCAACGGAGCCGTAACGGACCTGCCCGGAGCTGTAACGGAAGCTGTAACGGAGCTGTAACGGAGCGGTAGCTGAGGGCCCAGGGTGGGTAGGGCAAATCCCATAGTAAATGATGGTAGAGAACACCCCCAACATTGAAGGTAACAAGCCGAAACCTGCTCTGCTGCAGCGGCGCCGTCGCCCGCGAACATGAAGTTCTCGATCTTCAGGTCTCGGTGGACAACCTTCGCATGGCCCACATGGGAGTTTCTCTATTTTCGGGGGCCCTATACCAAGGCTCCTACTATTTAGGGTACTATATCAGGGTCCCCAATTTTCGGAAACTCCCACATTGAGGCTGTGGGGTTGAGGATTCAGGGTTTTACGGTGTAAGGCGCAGGGTTTTAGGGTGTAGGGCGTAGGGCTTTAGGGTGTGGGATGTAGGATTTTAGGGTTTAGGGCTTAGGGTGTAGGGTGAAGGGTTTTGTTTTTAAGTGCAATGGGGTGAAGGGTTTTAGGGTATGGGGTGTAGGGTTCAGAGCCTCATGCCGGGGCTGAGGTTTGGGGCTGAAGGGGTTCCTGTTTGGGGCTCAGGGGTCAGAGGTTACGATATGGGTAGTTGTCAAAATTAGGGTTTAGGGTTTAGGGTTTAGGGTTTAGGGTATGGGTAGTTGTCATAAATTATGGCCCCTTTTGGGGTGCCCTAAATAATAGGTGCCGATTATCAGAGGGGTCCAAAAAGGGACCATAATTTTGACAACCACCCATATATGGGCTAGGGGTTTGGATATAGTTCCGGCGCAATGTGGTGCATGGCTCACCTTTAGACCAAGGGGGTTTAAGGATTTGGGTTTGGTGGAAGAGCGGGGGCGCAGGAAATTGGGCAATTAGGCTGTGGTTCCAAGAAGGAAAACGACTGTAGAACAATCCCCACTTGTCTGTAGCGTGAGAGAGAGCGAGAGATAGAGGGACACGCACATAGAGCAAGAATCCATAAGATTGAAGCAGAGACGGAAAACTCAGAATCCCCGCGCCTTCATGGTGTGCAAGTAGTACACCCCACCTCGGCACGGAATGCGGTTCGTCCACCTCCAAATGAACCTGAAACCCTGAGACAAACCCAAAACTCTAATCTTGAAATCCGAAGACCTCAGCGCCAAAGACAACTTCTTTCGCAAACGCAGGAACCGAAGAAACGTGATGAGCGAAATCTCAGCAACGACATGGCTGAATCCGAAACCCTGGCGAAACCTTGACATAACCCCTGAACCCCAGAAGCCCGAAGCTAAAACCCGAGTTTGGGGCTCCTACGAAAAAACCCCGAGTTTGGGGTTCCTACGAAAAAAACCCTACATCCCAGGGAAGGGTAGGTAAGTTACAGCTGAAGTCTAGGGTTTAGGGGTGTAGGGTTTAGGGTTTAGGGGTTTAGGGTTTAGGGGTTTAGGGTTTAGGGGTTAGGGGTTTAGGGGTTTAGGAAGTCATAAGTGCCCACAGTCAAATCAGATGCAATATAGCCGCCTTAATGACTAGACTAGGGTTTGGACTACCTCACAGTATTGCTATTTTACGGAACCCTAAGGAACAATCTTGGAAATTCTTCCGGCTTCTATATCAGCACCTATAACCCCAAACCCTGAACCCTAAACCCCTCATTGCTCTTGCAACGGAGCTGCGGAAGATCTGCTGCATGATAATTGCCGCTTGGCCTTCCTTTCAGAAGAGTAAGGCTTCAAGGGTTCAGTGCTTAAGGCCATTTAAGCATTTAGGGATTTTGGGTTTAGGATTTAGGGATTCTGGGTTTTAGGGTTTAGGGCTTGGGGTAGGGCTTGGGGTTTAGGGTTTGGGGTGTAGTGTCTAGGTTTTCTGTTTGTTTCTGAACAGCTTTTTGACCTCCTGCCCTCAAGCACCCAACCGCTGGGGGAATCGGAGAGTCTAAGACTACGGCTTTGGATCCTTACATGGTGAAACTATGGAAACCATAAGAACCCCAATCCTAAATTTTCATGCTTCTCACTTGACACAACTTGAGGCTTCTCAGAACCCGAAACAAGGGAAACAACAAGAAGAAACCTTCTGGCTTCTATGTTAGGGCTCAGTAGGGCTTGGTGGCTTAGCGCCCACGGCGGTGAATCCTCATAATCCTCATTCCCATACCCATGACCAAAAGACCATAATCGTTTCTCAGCCCGCATCCTGAGGTGTACATCGCGCACTGCACCGGAAAAAAACCATGAACCCGAAACCCTGAACCGAACCCTAAACCCTAACCCCGAAACCACGAACCCGAAATAGGGCTTGGGGGTGGGACTAGGATTTAGGGTTTGGGACCCTGAATCTGAACCTTGAAATTCATGGCGCACTGACCCAGAATTGCTAGCAACATGGCGCCGGCACCAAGCTGCCATCCACGGTTTAGGGTTTAGGGTTTAGGAGTAGGGCCAAATGCTGTCGCATTGATGTCTTTGCAGATCTTAGCTTCCACAGAAGCTTCAGAAGCTGGTCCTGCTTGCCATCCCTCGCGGCCCAGCTTCCCCAAACCTAACTTCAAGGCAAAAAGCAGGCCACGGGGACGGTGTCACCGTGTCCCCGCTGTCGCCAGCGCTGGAAAACTCCAACTGGCGGCCTGAATGGGTTTAGGGTTTAGGGTTTAGGGACTACCCTCCTCGTCTCTTCTTGCCCATGGCGAGCGTAAACCCCAGAGGCTATTGCGAACATTGTCAGCAGGCTCCGGTACGCAGATTGGATCCGACAGAGTTGCTGCGGTCTGCAAAGCCTTACTAAGAAGAACCTGCTCACTTCCAGCTGAAGGCGGCTAGGGTCTTCTCGCGAGGGTTGCGCTCTGCCCTGCCAGCCTCCTAACAGCGAGCCCCTCCCGCCCCCCGTACAGAAGCTTTACAGAACCCTAAACCTCGAACCCCAAGACAGCGAACCCTAAAACTCTAAACCTGAACCCTAAACCTGGGACCCTCAAATCTTAGAAACCTTGAAGCCAAAACCCATGTAGAACCCCTGGAAAACACCGAAAAAACAAAACCTCAACCCTAAACCCTACCCTGCAGAACCCTAAACCCTACACCCCACCGGACTCCCACCAACAAGGGTCCTTAACAACCCTAGACCCTGAACCCTTATGGAACCCAAACCCTAAACCCTAACCTATACCAACCTGAGAACCATAATAAAAACTACATTTTTAATATTCTCTTGGGTGTTATATGAACAAAAATTTTAAAAAAAAACCAAGGAGACTATTGTAGCGTAATCCCGGAGGGGCCAAGGGTCGGTGAAGTGGCCCGCTTCCAGCAACCGGTCGAAGAGCTCCCCGCCCTTGCAGTACTCCATGACCTCAGCTACTAGGTGTTCAGGGTTTAGGTTGTAGGACTTAGGGTTTAGGGTTTAGCTGTTCACGGTTTAGGGGTTTAGGGGGTTTAAGGCTTAGGGTTTAGGGTTTTAGGGTGTAGGATTTAGGATTTTAAGTTCTAGAATAAGCTCTGGAAGGCTCCATGGTAAGGCCAGGGCTCCATGGGCTCAGGGTTCTAGAATAAGGGGTTTAGGGTTTAGGGTCCTAGAATAAGGGTTTAGGGCTCAGGGTTTAGGGTCCTAGAACAAGGGTTCTCTAGGGGTTCCACAAGGGCTCAAGGCTTGGGTTCGGAGGGTCAGGGATCAGGGCGGTTTAGGGTTTAGGGTTTAGGGTTTAGGGTTTAGGGTTTAGGGTTTAGGGTTTAGGGTTTAGGGTTTAGGGCGAGGGAGATGGGTGTCGGGTTTGGGGTGGTCGTTTTCAGGGCCCAGGCACCCTGGACCAGGGTGGGTTCGAAGTTAGAAGGAAGTACTCAGTAGTCATTGGATAGAATTTGGGAGTTAGTGTCGTTGGCCGCTTGCAGTTCGTAATTGGCAATAAATTATGTTCATTGTTGTGTTATTATTTTTTATTATCATTCGTCTTAGTAGTAGAAGTAGTAGTAGTAGTTGTTGTTGTTGGAAGTGGGCCTCGAAGCTCAAGAGACCGCGAGCCTGGAGAATCTGCTTCTAGCACTCCAGCCACCCATGCAAGCTTGAATACGTATAGGGTTTAGGGTTTAGGGGTATAGTTAGGGCTCACATTTGGGATGCGCTTTCGAGTCCTTACGTGCCTTTGCTGACAGGGTGATGTGTTCTGCGTGGCCTAACGCGGCGAACATACCACATGACACCCATCATCCCGCATACGGCTTCTGCCGAGGCTCCGGGCCTCAGGGGCCGTTTAGGGTTTAGGGTTTAGGGGCGTTTATGGTTCAGAATTTGGCACTGTGGGTTTTGGGCCTCATTATGGTCTAGAGTCCAGGGTGTGTTTCTTGAGCTTGGCTGAAATTTCAGGGTTCTTGCTTGGGTATCGGGGTCTTTTGATCCGAGCCGCGATGTACATGAACTTCCGATCCTGGCATGGCCATCGCGTAGAAGAACTGATGACTTCACATGCACAAAGTTCGCAAAATCAGAGCCCGAAGAATCTAAACTGGGTTCTGGGGCACGGGGGTGGGCTTTGATTAGAGTTTATGCGGGTGCCCCGACTTGAACGAGTATTTTACCTGGTGAGCGGGTCAGGGTGATCATGGATGCAGGGCTTTATAAGGGATCTATATGGGATCCATAAGGGTTTAGGGTTTAGGGTCTGGGTTGTAACAAGGTTTAGGGGTTATGGCTGTTTCAGGTGGCTCTCCGCCCAGCACACTCAACCCCGTGAGACTGAACAAGTTTGGAGGATCGTCGACTCTATGAGCTAGGCTTTTTTGCTTTGGGTAGGGAGTTTGGGGTTGTAGGGTTTGGGGTTTAGGGGGTCAAGTCATAAATGGGCGTTCGGTGTTGGGCGCAGGGTGTGGAGTGTAGGATATTGCGCTGAGGCTGTCCACTGAAAGCCCCAAGGTGCCTCGAAGTGCTCATACAGCTTGACGATATGAGGATGATCCAGCCTCAGCGATGCTATGACAACTATCACTCACACCACCACCATCATCATCAGCAGCAGATGCGGCATCATCATCAGCACCACCACCATCATCACCATCGCTGTCACCATAGCATCAGCATCACCACCACCACCACCACCACCACCAGCACCACCAGCACCACCAGCACCACCACCACCATCATCATCGCCGTCACCATAGCATCACCATCATCGTCAGAGCAGCATCAGCATCAGCATCATCACCCTCATCATCATCGACACCACACCATCATCGTCATCATGTCCTCTTATTCATCCATGGCTCCCGTTGATACTATTTTGCGTCAAATATCGGCACTATTCTAGAATGGGGTGAGTTAAAGTTCGGGATCACTGTAAAAGCCTTACATCCCAGGCCCTCTACCCTAAACCCTAACATCCTAAGTCCTCCACCCGCTTGAAGTATTGAACGATGCGCCATAGGCTGAACACCCGTCAGCCATAAGTCACCCAACTCAAAAGCATAAAACCCTAAACCCTGAAACCGAAAGCCCAACACTAAAATCCCAAACCCTAAGTGAACCACGAGCCTGCACCACCTCAAGCCAGCATTCCATCATTGGGAGACACCGAGACACTCGAGTTATCGCAACCGTTTTCTGGCTTGCGACGTAAGTTGCGGTGGAGGTCTTTAGGTAAGGGAGGTACGTAAACCCCCTCAAACACCCAAAACACTAAACCCCAAACCTGAACGCGAAACCCTGAACCCTAAAGCCTCAGTTCAAGCCTTGTCCATATACACCCCTGAGCCTGCTTGAGGGTTGAGGGTTGAGGGCTCAACGCCGTCACGATATGCGCTGAACCCTCAAAGCACTCTCTGCCATTGAACATTTCCCACCCCCAGGATTCCGCGCATCTTCAGCGTGGAGAGCTCGTTCTGGAACCTCGGAAGGAAGCAAAAAACGCTACGACCGGGGATTGGAACCGGAACCTCAGAATCCTACAACCCTAATCTTTAAACAGAGCTTCAGGTCCTCAAGCCCTAGAAACACCAAGAAGGCCCTAGAGCCCTTCGTGGAGCCCTGATAGAACCCCGTAAACATTTGGGAGTTTCCGAAATTAGGGGTACCTTATTTTGGGGACTTATAATAAGGATCTTACTATTTAGGGTAGTATATTAGGGTCCCCTGTTTTCGGAAACTCCCATTTATAATTTATAATCCCCCAAACCAACAACTCACACTGGCCCTGCTTCGGAAGAGTTCGAGATCTCCGGAAGAATCACATGCAGAGTTCGGAGGGAACTCAACAGTCCTTGGGGCTTTGGGGGCTTGGATAGCTTAGGGTTTTCGGGTTCCTTTTAGGGTTGAGCCTAAACCCTAACTTAACCCTAAACCCCCAAACCCAAACGCCCCCAAACCCAAACCCTAAACCTAACCCCCTAAACCCTAAACCCCTAAACCCCTAAACCTCTAAACCCTAAACCTTAAACCCCTAAGCCGCAAACCTTAAACCCCTAAATCCTAAACCTTAAACCCCTAAACCGTAGGTGGCCAAAAAAGGAACCGCTGAGCGCCCCGCATCACGAGCTGGGACTTCCTTCTGACCTGGCGGCTTCTCACGGGCAGCAGCTTCGCCCTTCTGTTGCTGTATATTTAGGGTTTAGGGTATAAGGTTTGGGGTCTAGGGTATCGGGTTTAGGGGTTTAGGGGTGTAGGGCTTCTCAGCTTCCCCCTTCTGTAGTGGTACCTTTAGGGTTTAGAGCTTGGGGATTAGGGTTCAAGGCCTAGGGGTGTAGGGTTTAGTGGTTCAGGGGTTTAGGGGTTTAGGGGTTGAGGGTTGAGGGGTTAGGAGTTCAAAGTTTAGAGTGCGCAGGCCTTAAAAACAGCTTGAATGGGAACTGTTTCAGACCACGAAGAAATCGTCAGGACTGCAGGCTTTAAAGGCTGTACACCCTCTGCCCCCGACCTGTCGCCGCTTACCCTTTAAACCCGTAGCCCAAGGCATGCCCCAAAGACAGAACCCATGACCTTACTAAAGCACATATGTGGGTGTCGCATCTCTATGACCTAGAAAGCGCCAAGCTTTTTTCAAGCCTGAGCATTCACAACTTCTGCTCCAAGCAAGAATCTCCATTTGGGCAGCAAGCACTGCAGAAAGTCGAGCAATAAGCCCTCGGAAGAAAGAGACCCATACTCGCCGCAGATACTCCTGCTCATGCAGATCCTGCTCCTGCTCCTCCTGAACCACCTCCTCCCCCTAAAGGGAACTCCAGAAAGTTGGAATATGGTTTCATGGTAGGATACCCGATAATTTACCATAGAAGGGTTAGGATAATCATATTCCAACTTTCTGGCTTTTACCTCATTGCTGTTGCTCCTCCGCTCGCCGCTATCAGAAGTACTGCTGCTCCGGGCAGACAGACCGATGAAAGTCATCATCATGACCCTCTTCTTGATCGTCGCAAGAATCTGCTGTCCAAACATCCTGATCATTGCCCCAAACTTTCAAGCCACAACACCTCTCAACTCACGAATTAGAAGTCCTAACTCCTGCACCCTTTACATAGAAAACATAGGCAAGACGCCTAAAACAAGAGTGGCTTCGATTTTGAGTGCTTCTTGGGCCCCTAGTTTAGGGTTTCGGGTTTAGGGATAGCTCTGTTCCCAAAGCGTCAGCTTAACGGCCTGCAGCCACAGCCCTCAATCCTAAGCCTTTCGCATCGGAACGCTCCCTTCCCTGCCTTCCGCAGCATCTTCACTGCCCGCTCTGCGCCAGTGGAGAGGTTGGTGCACCTAGGGCCGTGGAAAACTTGGCACTGGAAGCTACCTGTGCTTTACTCACAGACCCCCTGCATGAAGGAACAAACTTGAATTTGTAAAGGGCGTCTATTTATCATTGAAACGCGACTTGATTTTGTCTGCGTGAGGCTCAGGCTCACCCCTAAATGGGTTTGGGGTTTTGGGGTTTTGAGGTTCGGGATGTGGGACGGAGGATTGAGGCTTAGGATTGTAGGGTTTTCGGGCTTTGGGTTTCAGGTTCCAGGGTCTAGGGTCTAGGCTGTAGTGCTCTGGCTTAGGGTTTAGTTTAGGGTTTCGGGTTGAACCACCTTAACCCAACACCCCGAACCTGCACCACCCCCTAACATAGGGGCCTCAATAATTGCCAATACCATTTTGGGGGTTCCTCAATAGAATTATAGTATAATGGACCCCACAAGCCTATTCTGATTTTTCAGGCCTCTATACTAAACCCCCACAATACCCCTTATAGTAATCCTTACAGACCCTTTAAAGGAACCCTTCAAGGAACCCTCTTCTAATTATTAAGGCCCCCAAAGTAAACCCCCATAATACCCCTTATAGTAATCCTTATAGACCACGTTTAAAAGAACCCTTTAAGGAACCCTATTCTAATTATTAAGGCCCCTCGCAGCTCCCCTCCAAGCCCCCCGCTTTACCACACGTCCAAAGGAGCCCTCGCCGATCTTCTCCTCCTCCACATCGTAGAAATCATGGATATCACCGGCATTGTTGATGATGTAGATGGCGAAGCCTGGCCCGTTGACGGTTTGGTTGTACAACCCGGACATGGGAGTTTCCGAAAATGAGGGGTGCCTTATTTTGAGGGTTCTTATAATAAGGATCTTGCTATTTCGGGTACTATAATCGGGTCCTCTCTTTTCGGAGACTCCCACATCTGGGTCAGTTAATGTTGATGTGTCGGATTGTCGGTTCTTTACCGACACGAACAGCAAAACCGTTCGGGAAACGTTTTCAAAAGGTCTGTCCTTCGAGGTAGAGGGCTGCTGGCATCTTTTCAAAACAACAACTCCAGAAAGGGGGGCTCCCAAAAGCTGTAAGCTCCAAAAGACTACGTGGCTCAGGCTCTAGGGCTTCAGGTTTGAGGCTTTTAAGCTCAGATCCTGGCCGCTTCTTCCGTTTGGGGTTTAGGGTTTGCGGTTTGGGGTTTAGGGGTTTCGGGTTTAGGGTTTAGGGTTGAAGGTTGTGATATGTAGACGTGAACAAGCGACTCTTGACTGAGACACCTTTAAGCCGTCTCAGGCCATGCGGCTAAAAAGGGCCATGACCCCAAACCCTGTACACAAGAGCACGCTTAACATAAACAGCCCCGAAGCTTCTCTGCTTCGACCGAATTGCGCCCGTAAACTTCTTAGAGGACTGTTGCATCCTGCACACTCGACTCACTCTAAGTCAACTCCCACGGCTCAAATCTAAACTAAGCCCTCGGAGCACTCCCACTGAAAAACTCTTATGAAAGCCTGTTAAACCTGATGACCATGCCACAGCCTTCCAGTAAGTCGGATCGCCTCCAGCAAACGAAAAAATATACAAACACAGGGAACAGAGTGTCAACGGCATCCCTGGGTCCCGGAACCCTAAACCCTAAACCCCACACACGAAACCCTACGCCCCGAACCCAAAGGTCCTGACTCACGAAACAGCGAGGCTTAGACCCAAAACCTTCAGCCATTCGGTTTAGGGTTTAGGCTTTAGCGTCTTTTAGGGCTTAGGGTTTGGGGTTTATAGAAATTGTTAAGGGTTTGGGTCCCAAAAACGTTTTGACCGAAACTTTTGACCGAAACGTATTGAACGAAACGTTTTGAACGAAATTGTTGACCATAACGCTCTGAGCGAAAGTTTTTTTTGCGAACCATGTTTTCAAATTTGTTGGGCTAGGGCTCTTGGGTGCCAAAAACGTTTTGAGCGAAACGTTTTGAGCAAAACGTTTTGAGCAAAACGTTTTGAACGACGGTCTTTTCACTGAATCGTTGGTGAGAAACAGTCCAGTAAGTTTCGAGCGAAAGTTTTGAGCGAAACGTTTTGACCGAAAGTTTTCCGACTGAAACCACATTTTGCTTTTGCTGGGTTGGGCTGGGCCTGGGCTGGGCTGGGTCGGGCTGCTTGGCTGGGCTGGCTGGGTTGGGCTGGGCTGGCTGGGTTGGGCTGGGCTGGCTGGGTTGGGCTGGCGCTGGGCTGGGTCGGGCTGCTTGGGCTGGGCTGGCGGGTTTGAAGGTTGTAGAGAAATTGGTTGATCAAGAAGCTTGTTCCGTTTTTGAGCTCCAGCTCAATGTTGGCCGGGCTGTACTGGCGGTTACAAATTTGTAGAGAAATTGGTTTATCAAGAAGCTTGTTCAATCTTTAACCTGCGTGTTGGGCCGTAGCGGTGGTTACAAACAAGGACAAGCAATTTCTATTTATCACTTTCTTGAGGGTTTAGGTTTTAGGGTTTAGGGTTTAGGTTTTAGGGTTTAGGGTTTAGGGCTGATAAACCACGGCCCCAATTGTTGCCGGGCATGCTGTGCTGCTCCTCCTCCTCCTCCTCTTCCAGTAAACTGTGGTCCTTTCAAGGTGCGGTGGTGGAAGCTTGACGGAGTTGAGGATTTGAGCGCTTGGGTTTTGGGCGGATTTGGTGTTTGGTGGTTTAGGCCTTAGGGCTAACAGGATATCGGTGATGATTTGGTCAGGGTGTACAGCTTCGAGTTCAGAGCTCAAGGTTCGCAAAACGGGGGGCCTTAATAGGTAGAATAAGGCTTTGGGTATATTCTGGTAGAGTTGCAAGGAACTCTGAGGAATAATCTTGGCAATTCTTCCGGCTTCTATATCTTCTATATTGGCCTTTTTGTGGAGGTATATACCCTTACTATAGCTATTATGTACCCATTATATAGCCCATTATGGGGTAGGGGTCCACATTAAGGGGATCTTCCCAGTTCCCTGAGTGCGAAGATGGTTCCGACGGTTGCTGTGGCAGCTTCTGGGGCTTTGGGTTTGGGATGGTTAAGGGGGAGCTCAGGGATTTTTTCAGGGTTCAGGATTTAGGAGTTAGGAGTTTAGGGGTTTAGGGTTTTGGGCTTTTAGGGCTTAGGGTTTAGGGTTTAGGAGTTAGGGTTTGTGGATTTGATTTGCGTCTGGGGTGTAGAGCCTGCGGTCTTTAAGCACATGCAGAACCTTGTGAGGCGTGATGCTGTTTCGACTGTTTCAGTTGAGGGTTTAAAACGACGTTATGCAGTTGAGGCTGTAGCTGTTTAGGCAGGCTTCCCAAAGGCACCGGCACTGCAAAAAAAATAAAAGAGTGAAGAACCGGCAGAATGGTGCATGGAGGGTGTTCCGAATTTACTTGGTGCAACCAACCCTCATGCGCATGTCGAAGTGCTCCCACGTGTTGACAAGTGAGCATCGCCCCAGGTCACGATAGATCCATCACCGAGAATGGCAGCAAATGCCCTGCTGGTTGCTGATATGAATCGCACATCTGTCAGCATGTCCTGCACGGCAGTGCTGTCACCTCCGCAATCAGCATCGCCCCAGGTCACCACAGATCTGTTCCCCAATATGGCAGCGAAGGCATGACAAGTCGCCTGGATCTGCTTCACATCCTGCAACTGATGCTCTACAGCGCTGCTATCACCCCCAAGCGCATGATGGCCCCAGGTGGCCACGGAGCCATCGCCCAGGATGGCCGCGAAGGCTCTGTCGCAAGCTTGTATCTGCTGCACATCCCTTAGTTGAGCCAGCACGGCAGAGGAATCACCGCCAGAATCGGGATCCCCCCAAGACACCACAGATCTATCAGCCAGGATCGCTGCAAAGGCCGTGTCCGTGGCCTGGATCTCCTGAACACTTCTCAACTGCGCTTGCACAGGACCAGCGTCGCCGCCGAACAGAGGGTTGCCCCAAGCCACGACGGAACCATCAGAAAGGATGGCAGCAAAGGCACCAAAGGAAGCCTGGATTTGCCGAACCCCCTTCAGCTGATCCTGTGAAGAAGTACTGTCACCGCCGATTTCAGCATCGCCCCAGGTGACAACAGAGCCATCTTCTTGGATGGCAGCAAAGGCGGCACTGGATGCTTGGATGCATCGCACGTTCTTCAGCTCTCCCACCGTGCGGAGATCGCCGCCCTCCTTTGCGGCACCCCAGGCAACCACCCGCCCATCTTCTCGAATCGCCGCGAAGGCCAGGTCGGTAGCCTGGATGCCCCGTACCCCCTTCAGCTGATCTGCCACCTCCGAACTGTCGCCACCTGGGGGTTGTTTTGAATTAAGGCTCCCTTTTTTAAGGCTATGATATCAAAGGTGCCTTAGCACCTCTTCAAGGCATCTGTATCGGTATATACATCTGACTAAGCACCACTCACACCTCCCAAAGGAGAGCCCCAGGTGACCACCGAGCCATCCTTTAAGACAGCCGCGAAGGCAGAGACCGAGGCTTGAAGCGCGCGGACTTCCCGTAGCTGGGTCTGCACCTGGCTGCTGTCACCTCCCACAAACTCGTTGCCCCAAGTTGCCACGGAGCCGTCGCTCAAGATCGCAGCAAAAGCGCTCGTTGAGGCCTGAATTTCAGTTACGTTCCGAAGCTGAGCAGGGCGAATCCTACGCCCGTCCAAGCCCAAGCCCCAACACTCCACAGTCCCGTCACCAAGAATGGCGGCAGCACACCGGCGAGAGGCTGAGATTTGTACCGCTGCTACATGCAAGGTCAAAGCATCTCCACTCTGTAACCCGCTCTGCCGGATGGTGGCGGATCCCTCCAGGACATGCCCCAAGGAGTTAACCAATCTTCCCCTGCTCGTTTCCAGAGCTCTCTGCGCACGGGCACTAAGGTCATCCAACGAGACGTCAACTTCGACTTCAATCGGCAGTGTCTTCCCACTCAGAAGACTCACCTCGATGGACACAGACATGACAGCTTCTCTCATAGGGATGTGGCTATCCTGCTCTGAAGTAACACCACTCAACGGCGTAGTCTGCGATGCAAGGTATGTAGTTGTTGGGCATGGTGCCGAAGATCTCTTACTTGCTGCATATACCTTGAGCCAAAAGTGGTTTGATATCATGATATTCCTTAGCCAGCTACAAGTATAGTATAGTATACCCCCAAACCCTACTCTAACTATTAAGGCGCGAGACTAGGGTTAGGGGCTGAGGTCTCGGTAACCTCACCTCCCACAGCCCAAGGAAAGGGACCCTGCATCCTTAACCCGGGAAACCCCCAAAAAAGATTGGGCTTATAGTTCAGGTTGCTAACATAAGGCTATGCAGCAGACAAGTCCTTCTCATAACATCCGGAACTGATTCCTAATTACTCAGGCTTCGATACTGAACTACCTAAGAAGAATCCAGAAGTCGACTCGGTGGCTCCGCCTCCTTCCGGCTCTTCTCCCGCTGATTCTGAAGCTCGCGTCTCCTGTTGGTGGTTTTGGATTTAGGGTTTCGGGTTTAGGATTTAGGGTTTAGGGTTCAGGGTTTAGGATTTATAGTTTAGGGTTTAGGATTTAGGGTTTAGGGTTCAGGGTTTAGGATTTAGGGTTTAGGGCTCAGGGTTTAGGATTTAGGGTTTAGGGCTCAGGGTTTAGGATTTAGGGTTTAGGGTTTAGGGTCTGGGATCTAACTTTTCTTTTGCTTGCATTGGCTACAGCAATAAGCGATTCCACAAAGAGCCCTTGGCGCTAGGAGTTAGGATTTGGGGTGTAGGGTTTACTGGAAAGCCACATAAAGCTCCCGCAAGTCCACAAAACTCGAACAAGCCTGAGAGCAACGAACTAAAGACAAGAAAACCGACAGGACCCGGGAAAATGAAGGGTACGGCGTGAGAAGTGTCTGAATAATTCGTCACAGCTCTCGAGCAGCTCGCTTTGCTCGCGCTGCCTTCTCCTCGCGCTCGTTTGCTTCGGAGTTCTTCAAAAGCTTCTTGACACCATCGCTGCCATGGCTGCTTGACTCACTGTCAAACCCAGCTTCATCGTTCGGCCCAGCATTTGCCGCCTCCGGCACCGGCACATCGCCATTCTTAGCCACCGGCAGCTTGCCAGTCTCAGTCACCGGCACCTTGCCAGTCTCGGTCACCGGCACCTCGCCAGTCTCGGTCACCGGCACCTCGCCACCAGTCTCGGCAGGCACCACGGCAGCAGAAAGAGTAAGGCAAAGCTGGAAAAGCCATGCCTCTACAGCTCCTGTCTAAGTATACCAGGAACCATGAACACGATTAAGGCCTTTATATTCACGATTCACGAACCCTCACCTTAGCCGAAACCCTTACAGAGCCCAACTCCCAAAACTGAACGCACCTGATTTCGAGGCCTTGATAAGTATATTTGGGATCTTTATACGAAGGAATGCTAAGGAATGGGAGCACTCTGGTCTGCATCGACATTCAGAGTTCTGAACTCCGACTGCATGGATCCACCATAGCCCTTGCCTTGATGGCCTTTTTGGGAAACGCAGGGGCCTCCCAAAATCCCTTCATTACGGAATCTACCGCCAACAACAGTACGGATTTGCTTTGAGGTACTTTTGGGAGATCTGGGAGCCTTAATGTTTTAGGTTCAGGGTTTAGGGTTTAGGCTTTAGGGTTTAGGGTTTAGGGAGAAGTAGACTAGCGTTGGATATCAAGGTCTCGCAGCTTTCTAGTCGGATTTCTAGGATTTCGTACTTCGAACCTCCAAACTATAATAGGATTTTGGCATTGGGGGGCTTAGGCCTTGAATCGTACACCCTAAACCCTGCAGGCCGTTCGGCTTAGGGTTTCTGCGCCCAGAGACTCCATTATCCTTTTAATTGATAACTAGGGACTATAGCCCAAAATACAGTAGGCGCCCCTCGTATGATGTAATTAGGATATATTCTTAAGTCTTAAATCAAGGGATAATGGAGCACTTTAAACCCTAAAGGTATAGATCCAAGGAACCCTATACATTCCTTAATTAAGAACGGAAGAATGGAGTCCCTGCGAGCCGTGTGCGCACGAAGAATGGCTGAGACAGCCACCGGAGGCCGCTGCGGATCGTTGCAACCTCAACTTAGGGTTTAGGGTTTAGGGTTTAGGTTTTAGGGTTTAGGGGTTTAGGGGTTTAGGGTTTAGGGTTTAGGGTTTAGGAGTTTAGGGTTGAGGGTTCAACCACGGAAACCCCTGGTTCATAAGATACTGCTGATGGACAAAATCTTGCATGACCCTAAGGACTCTAAACTATGGGGACTATGGTATATATATATATATTCCTTATAATGGGTGATGCAGGATTTTGTCCATCAACAGTACCATTGCAACATGCTGAAAACGACAACAGGACAAGATGTGATCATACTGATACTAAAACTAAAAGAGTATGAACGCGGATACGAATGCGAGTACGAATAATACTCCTCATACTCATAGCCATACTCAAACCTATACCAACACCAATACCAATACCAATATTGACGCCAATGCTACAGCTGCTACTACTACTACTACTACTACTAGCAGCAGCAGTAGTAGTAGCAGCAGTAGTAGTAATTCTAGTACTATTAATAATGTCAATAGTAGTACCAATACTTATACTTATTGAAGACTAAAGACTAGTACTAATATTAATACTCGTAATCTGGAGCACTTCGAGCCATACCTGAAAACCGAGAAGGTCTAAGCCTCGGTCTTGTCTTGAGAAGTTTGGAAGTTTAAGGGTTTGGGTTTAGGGTAGAGTAGAAATACTAATACCAATAGTAATAGTAATAGTCACAGGCAATGCCCCAAAAAACAATACTAATACTTCACATGCCAAGGCCAAGAGCCCTGAGGCAGCCTCAAAAAGGCACCCAAGCCCCACGGCCACGAAAGCTCGAAGACTGGAACCTTCCAAAAAGGCACCCCAACAAAAAGTTGCACCCTGAAGCCGAAACCCTAAACCGTCTTCTTGAGGGCTTAGGGTTCTTTTTTGTTGAAGTGCAGTGGCTCTTTCTGCTCTGCGCGAGTAACTCGAGCCCGCCACAAGGGGGGCTTAGGGTTTAGGGTTCAGGCTCTTCCGGGGAAAATGACGCTAGAGAATTGGGCGCCGGGCACAGTTCCCCATTCCTCAGCTCACCTTCGGCCCACCTCTGTTCTACAACAGCTTCGCAGCTCGGCCATCGCGTGCCCGGGGAGACCTTGGTGAGCGTCTGGCTGTGAGCTTGAAGAAACCCTACAGTCCTACATAGCAAGGGTTCCTTAAAGGGATCTATAAGGGTCCCTTCAAGGGATCTATAAGGGTTCTACAAAGGGCTTAGGGTTTAGAGTTACCGAATTAGGGGTACCTTATCTTGGGGTCCTTATAATAAAGATCTTAGTATTTAGGGTACTAAATTAGGTTCCCTTATTTTCGGAAACTCCCATATAGCACCCCCACCCCCACGCCTTCTAACCTTAAATCCTACAACAAGTTCGAGCGCAAGTTTCAGCTCTTCGTGTGGAGGCTCAGGGTTCAGGGCGGACGGGTTAGGTTTGGGTAGTGATGGTGATACAAAACAATACAGTAACAAACATACTGGCAGCAGCCCTCGTAATGACATGACCTGAAGCCTCATAACAACGGTAACGACATGAAATATGGCTTCTGCACAGTGTACTTTCATACCATCATATTAGAGAACAGAGCACTCGCTATCATGCCGTACTCACAACGTTATGCAGCAGCAAGACCGAAACAACCAAAAGACTGCCATCAGACTAAGAAGAGCCATGCGACATCCTGAACCCTACACCCTAAACCCTAAACCCTAAACCCTAAACCCTAAACCCTAAACCCTGAACCCTACACCCCAGACCCGAAAGCCGAAACCCAGAACCTTAACCTTAAACTGTGAAGTCTAAGAGATTCTGGGTAGAGGCTTAAGGCTGAGGGCCTTGTTGGAGTGCATCATTGGTACGAAACACAAAGAAAGCCTTCGGGTTGAACCTTAGGGTTGGCTGTCGGAGTTGGGGGCTTTTGAATCAAGAGCGTAGTATAAGGGCCTTAATGATTGTACCATATTATAAGTAAGCTTCAACTTCAACGGTTCAGGATTTAGGGGTTTAGGGCTAAGGGTTTAGATTAAGGTTCAAGGTTTAGGGCGTAGGGTGTAGGGTTTTCCCCCACTGAGGAGGTGACAGGGTGCCGCACCCGCCGTGCCAGAAGAAGGCGCAAGGCAAAGCATACAAGAGTTTATTCAGCTGTCCTAATGATCCCTGCGAGTACTCTTCGAAATGAGACTAAGGGTTCTGGGAAAGATTGGCCCATAGGATGGTTGCGAGGGTGACGTGACGAAGTATTTCGACATCTGGTTCAAGAGTCAACTTTGAGGTTACTGTTGCCACCACTACTTTGGGATCACGTCTGGCTGCTACGATTGTTGTGGCTAGTATGAGAACCCTCATTCCTCAGAGCAAAGCCCTGAGACGCCGAGCAACCGAAACACGCAAAGAAGCAGCGAAGACTTTTGATGGCCCACAATCCCCTGAAATCTCTAAAACCCAATAAACCCCCATAAAATCCCATGAAGCACTAACAAATGGCAGACCCCCTAAAACCCCATAAAACCTATAAATCGCGAAAAGTATGTAGACAACTCCTGAAGGAGGCTTCCTGTGCTTTTTGGGAGTAGTGCTCAGGGGTCCTCACCACAGCGACCCCAGGTTTCGACTAGTATTATAGGGGCCTTCAGAATTAGAATAGGGTTCATTCAAAGGGGTCGATGAGGGCTACTATAAGGGATCTATAGTAGGCTCCATAATGTGGGGCCTTCATAATTAGATTAGGATTCTGGGGTTCCCTATTGTACTTACGGTATAATATCCCCTTGAACCCCTACTCTGATTAGTAAGGCTCCTACGGCTGATGATATAAATCCTGCATGACCCATAATAAGGAACATACCGTAATTCCCATAGTTTAGGGTCCTTAAGGTAATGCAGGATTTATATCATCAACCGGTTGATGATAAAAATCCTGCATGACCCATAATAAGGAATATACCATAATTCCCATAGTTCCGGGTCCTTAAGGTAATGCAGGATTTATACCATCAACCGTATAGTAATGCTCTGGTCTTCGGGTTCCTTCTCGGCTTAGGGCTCAGGGCTCGGCAGAAGGCTGGTCTGCAGAAGCTTGGAGTTTCGGGTTCAGGGTCTTAGGGTTTAGGGTTTTTTTTTTTTAATGGCCCTTTTCCTCCCTGCTACAGTCGGAATACCTGGTCGGTGGAGCCAGTTGGAAAACTCTCAGGCTGGGGAAACAAGAGCAAAACCTCAACTATGTAAAGACAGTATAGGGTTTAGGGTTTAGGGCTTAGGGTTTAGGGTTTTAGGGTTTAGGGTTTTGGGATTAGGATTTAAGGGTTTAGGGTTTAGGGTCACGACTTCGGAGTTTCGGATTCAGGGGTTTACCCGAAGGCCCCAAAGTAGTTCCTTTTTGGGGTTCA